TCGTCTAAATTACTATCAAAGCAGATTTTTCTGATTTTCACTTTTTAGTTACTCCCCCTTTTAGTTCGGCTTTCGTTTAGAGATGGAAAAGTCGACACTGAATCAAGTCAAAAATCAACTTTTTGCTAAAAAAAAACTCGACTTTTCGGAATCGAGTTTAGACCACCGTCCGGACGTCCCTCCGATCGGAGTAGATTTACTGCGATTTCTTTTTAAATTTAAAATGAAATCCCTACTCCGCTAACTTAAAATATGCTCCGATTTTTACTAACAAAAGGTCAGAAATTTATACGCCAACTGACAGTTTACTATTTTTTTAAAACATAAAGTTATTGATGGAAAGTTTGTTTTGAATACTACTTAGAGATTAAGCGCATCGATTGATGAATTGAAAACTACCTGTGATATACATATACGCTTATATACATATATACATATGCAAATAATGCGTTAGTATAGAAAAAAATTGATGAACTGAAAAGGTACATAAAGATAAAAAATTTTCCTTATACTATTTAATAAAAAATATTAATCTGCTCCGAAAATTTCTCCGCTTTCAGTAATAGCTGAATTGTGTAGCAGAAAGTATGATAAAAACATAACAAGGTAAAACCATAGAGAGGCAGTTTTACGTTTGCCAGCATAATAATTTAAAAATTTAAAACTCAATCTCACACACACATTCTCATTTTCAATCTCAAACAACAACAATTGCGAACAATTGGTGAACAATTTATTTTTTTATTTTCAATTTTATATGATTTTAAAATGCTTACAAACGTCAGAAAAAAGTCATGGCGACTAATTGAGAGAATGAATTACCCTTGTAATGTAATAGCGGAATTGTGTAGTTGAAAGCATGAAAGCGAGGAACGCCTGAAAAGGGTATTGTGGAGTTGTACTATTAGGGATTATTTAATTTATCGCCTACAGTAATCGTCACTTTTCAACACTGGCTTGTAGAAATTTATTTGTTGACATTCGCACTTTTCACGTGAATTTTGTAAACACATGCAATATCTTTGCACTTGGTTATATATGCACGATATAATTTTTTAAAAATGTCTCCGGGAAGCTTTGTGAACTCTGACAGTGATTTGGAAAGTGTTATCTCTTTTAAAAATGCACCTAAACCACGCCGTATTAGCACTGGACCAAAATACTTTTGCAGCATAGAGGGTTGTGGCCATAGTTTCAAACGGCTGGATCATCTAGANCTAGATCGACATGAATTCCATCACACCGGAATAGTAAGTCTTGCTCACCAACAATAAGGCTATTGTTGCTAACTATATAAGTTGCTTTATTTTTTTTTTTCAGAAAAAACATCATTGCCTTTATGACGGTTGCGATAAGGTCTACTCGATATTGACCCACTTGAAGCGTCATCTGCGTACAACGCATGAACGTGTTGCGCCGCCGACGAAGAATGTATCGTGTCAAGTACCTGGTTGTTTGAAAATGTTCCAGACTGAGACCAATATGCTTCGCCATATACGAGAGGTACACGAAAATCCAAAAATCTATACATGCGGATTTTGTTCAGAAAAGTTCACACAAAAATTAAAATTGC